GTACAGCGGGCCGTGTAACAGTGCGGTATACCGCATCACATCACCAGACACACAGCAGCCCTCGGGCACACGACCCTCCGTAAGCCGACACGGAGTGTCTGGTGTCCGCTGCAGCGGGAGCTCTCCTCTGTCTGCTCTCTCTCCGAGGGGAGGCCCCAAAATCTCCTATTGTATGGTAGTCGTGCCAATAATGAGGTGACTGTAACTGTAGCATCTGTAACTGTAGCATGATGTAACTGTAACATCTGCAACTGTAACTGTAGCATCATGTAACGTGTAGCTGTAACTGTAACTGCCTGCTGTAACATCTGTAGCATGGACAAACATTTGGTGCATTTGATGTGATTTTTCTTAGTTATGTTTTTTGATTTTTCTCTGGATTCATTTCTTGGCTTGCTTTTATAATGTGCTGGCAATCTATGCGACGTGATGCAAGGCGCGAAAATCCTGAAGAGCCGAGGCACTCCTGACTGTCTGAGGCTGCTTTGGAGGCCGAGTAGGTAAAACAAAACTCGTACTGATGGAAGGACAAGGAACAGTGATCATGCCGCGTTGCTGCATGTGCTGGTCGATGCAGAACCGTTGCGATATGATGCAGCGACGGGTAATTGACTCGATGTAATGCGCAATAAGAGCAAGAAGCGAAGTGCAATAAGTTGCTGTAAACTATTGGGTGCTTACATTCTTAACACAGTTTGACGCATGTTGGTTATGGAATTTCCATGACGAGCAGAACGAAATAGCGCTCATCATATTGCTAATCGTACCATCATTATTGGCCGTTAGCTCACAAGTACCACCACTTAGCATGGTCAAATATCGCTTCTGGTTTCCATAACCTACAGCTGTGATCACATTGTCTTAACATGTTCAGAATCCGGGTTAGGTCCTACATGCCTCCAATTGTCATCCGATCGTTTGAGGGGTATCCAGTTCACAAGCGTAGGACGACGCTTATCTAGCGTGTTTTCGGAAACAAAATATGATGTCCATGTCACCTCATATATGGTACTGCAGATGCGTATCTGTTCTTAGGCACACTAGCTGATGAAAAACCTAAACTGAGACCATTCTTTCCAGCTAGGTTGTCGGAAGCGTCAAAATTATAATCCACCCGCTCGGTAGTAGGTGCCAGCGTTGTTTTCACTCAGAAGAGTGAAACAGTTGCGTCACTTTTTAGCCACATTGCTGGACTGCCAGATTTACCAAATCTTCCGTTGTTGCTCGGACTGGAAAAACATGAAACCTTGGTTATTTGTAATCGCGCATCGCATAGCAGCACGAAGCGAATGTGCCTCAGATTGCCTCAGAATCAAATACAAATGGGGAGTCCTTCCACATTTACAAAATGTGGTGCAAGAGTAAGGTTCATGTCGCAATTGCACATGGTTTTGCATGATTTCGTTCGACGTGCCATGATTAAAATGTGCGGTTTTCGTGATATCTTGGTGGAAATATTAGGTATTCACCAGCGAAATGTACGCAAAATGCATCTGATTTCATATGGTATAAGCCAATGTTCTTGCGGTACATGCTAGTACATTTTAATGCTCATCGTCACAATCATGATGATACATTTCTCTTAACTACTGCTCCGCTGTGTTAACTTAATTTTTTGTGTTTGGTGTAGGCTTAACATAATTAACCTCAAAATCACAGCCTTGAAAAACGACGCAAGGCTTCGCCCTTTCTGAGAGCTCTTTCGGGCGGCACATCCTAGTGCCGTCGTGGGGGGGGGGGGGTCTCCCGCTCCCGCGCGTGCAGACGACTCACTGATCCGCTTAAAGGCGACCACCGTCGTGTTGGGCGCTGTCTGATCTGCCGGCCTTGACCCCCGCGACCCTGGCTTTACCACACGGTGGCGCGGGCGTTCAGACTCGTCCTGAACGTAGCACGTGGTCACGGGATTGTCCAGCCGGGGCGGGGGTGGTCACCTTCTGAGGCGACCGGGGAGCGCGTGACAAATTTTGGGTCATGGTCATAGAATGGACCGAGTGTGGAACAGTGGCGGTGAACCATCCCGGGACGATAAAGCATGAAGTGAGTACAACAGCAGGGCTGTGCCCGAGCAGTGTGAGAGATTGTGCACACTCTGTACACAAGCACACTGTCAAGTACGCAGTTTTCATGTCACACTGCCGAGCTGCGCGTTCAGAATAATGCAAATCATTTCCTTTTTATTTGAAAATAAATTCCTGTTGCGCTCTGGAACAATCCTGCGAGCGCGATGGTTTATCTGGTGATCCCAACATAGAACGGCATTTTGCAGTCCGCGGACTTATGACGCCCTCATCCACGAAACGTTAGCCAAAGTTTATCTAAAGCATACTTAGTCGCACTATTTTGGAATTCCGCAGAAACGACGGAATGCGTTAGCCGGGAGCATGGAGATTTCGGGGACATTGCAGAACACCTTAAAGGTCGGTATGGGCGGTGAGTTGTTGTAATTCCGCGCATTGCAGTCTGGTAGGAATGTGCACTTTTTCGCCAGCGGATTCTCAACAAATGTCAGTCGTGATCTAGCTCGAACTTAACGTCCTTACTATACTGCCTACTATACGTCCCTGAAAACCGGGCTGTTCCATGCGCCTATCATACACAGGCGTATGGGTTTCCACTTATTTCCACCTTCATTAGCTTTTATTTTGCTGGATTTTTCAGAAGCTTGATATCATCTGCTCGATGGTATTTGATGAAACTCATCCCTCCGGCATTTCGCTTAACCCACGTTATAGTGGTCCTACAAACATTTGTGGGATTTAAACAAGTGACGCTCGGTACAAGGCTTTGTTTAATTCGGCTCGGCATTTGTGTGTTGAAATGGGCTGCACTGCCACCAAACCTCGACACAAACGAAACGTGTTACATATGAAGTAGATAAAATTTGTGCAAGGGGGCTTATGCGCAATGCGCGTGGGAAAGCCCTTGGTGAGATCGCATAGCTTATTTCCAGTAGGGCGAATGGACTAAGTACATAACACGTAATCATCTTATTACAGGAGTGTTGTCCACTGATGCTACATACAGTCACTTGTGCAGTTTCAAATAAACTGGAAAAGCACAAGACGTAAGGTGCGATGTGTTCGGTTTCAGTGTATATTACGCGCAGGTGAATCGCGTGCGTGCGTGGATATATCCCTGATTCTAACTCTCGGCGCTAGCCGCCGCACCGTGGCGCTAGTGGCGCCCGGCGCACATCAGGGCAGATTGACACCAAACCAAACACCTCCCCCTAAGTGATTTTACCATCACTTTTAAACACACCGAAAGGAAATGAACTCGACGAAGTCTACTTTAGCAAGTCTGACCGTCCCGGCGGACGGTAAGGCGCTGGTGCGCCGATCGCGGACGCCGCAGCGGAGCAGCGGCTCCGCAGGTATGGCAGGCGGCACCTGGGCGACGGCCGGCCGCAAAGCGCCGCACGGCGGACTCGGTGGCACATCGGCGGCCGCGCCGCCCGGCGTGCTCTGAGGTCCGGGGCTCGCCAGCAGGGGTCGCAGGAACGACCTGTTTCGCCACCAGATCCGCCCGCTCGGCAGCTTGATGAGGTAGGACCTCCGCCGGCCGATACCGACGATGACGCCAGAGCGGTCCCAGAGGCGAGTCTCGGCGTTCTGAACGTTCACTCTGCCGCCGAACGGCAGGGTTGAGAGTGAACGGGATCGCAGGTCGTGCCGGTGTCTAACGTCTTCTGCAATCTCGGCAGCTCTTTATCGCACTGGTCGGCTGCCCGCTTCCGCTCCGCGGCGTAGGCACGGTGGTGCATGAGCACCGAACCTGACCGCAGCGGGTGGCCGAAAAGGACCTGTGCAGGCGACCGGCCGTCGGCCCGCGGTGTATTCCGCAGCTCGATCAGACCGCGATCGAGCCGTTCATCATTCAGGCGACCCCTGGCTCACGCGGCACTGACAATCTACTGTTTTCACGGCGGCTTCGGCATGTCCATTCGAGCGTCGATACCTACGAGACGACATCTCATGATGAACTCCCCACCGCTCCAGGAACCGGCGCGACGTCGAGGATACGAACTGCGGTCCGCCGTCACTCCGCAGCACCGCCGGAACACCATTGCAAACAGCGTGCGGAGCTGTTTGGTCAGGTGGTCCGCTGAAGCCGTCGGCGGGCACACGGTGATGTACGGCCAGCCCGACAGTTGGTCCACATACACGAGATACGCCCGGCAAGCCACGTGAAAATAGCCCGCGGACACCATCTCGAATACACGACTCGGTTGGTCCCCATCCCGCCACAGCGGCTCGTTGCAGTGGCTCGGAAGAAATTGTCGGCAGCTGGAGCAGGGTGCTACAGTGTTGGCTGTGTCTCTGTCGATTCCAGGCCAGAACACGCACTGTCGAGCCCGGCGCTTCGTTTTGTCGATGCCCTGATGAGAGTCGTGCAGACTGACGAGTATCTGTCGCCGCAGGCTGGCGGGGATGACCAGACACGCGTCATAAACGACCAGACCGTCGTCCACAGCAAGCATGGTGCGGATGCCCCAGTAGGGCCGCACCGCGAGAGCTGTCTCCTGCCGGTGTTCCGGAAAGCCATTCATCACGTTGTCTCGCAGCGATGAATATTCCTTGTCACGGGCGGCGGCCGCCCTGACAGCGGGCAGCGTCCGGTCCCGGAGAGGAGCGATCTGCGCGCCATCTTCACACGTCGACTGCAGAGCCGCTACCACCGCGGTGTGTGGGGTATCCGACACCTCAGCTACCTCTTCTTCCGGCGCCGGGTCACTGACGGGCGAGCGAGACAGGGCATCTGGGATGCAGCGCATCACCTATTTTTGCCAGCTGATGGTGAAACTGTACGGTGTTAGCTTCTCTCTGAGACGCTGCAGTCGAGGATTTTCGCTTTCCGTGAGCCGTTTAGAGTTGAGTATCGGTACCAGCGGTCCATGATCTACCACCACCTTAAAATGCTGGAGGCCGGCCAGGTACGTGTAGCATTTACGGCATGGCCACAGGACAGCCAGACGCTCGAAGTTCGATGGCCGAGTTTCGTGACACTGTGTCGGTTAAAAACTGAGATCCGCACTGTATCTTCCAGGTGCCTGCATGTCGCTACATGAGCGCGAAACCGAGGCCGCGAATCCGTGAGGCGTCGGTGTGCAGCGCCGTCTGGGCGAGCGGGTCGAAGAAGGCCAGGATAGGCGGCGCCACCAGCGCATTCTTCACACTGGAATGCGTCTTCGTGTAGGACGGCCCAGTTCCACACCGTCTTCTGTTTCAGCAGGTCTCGTAGAGGCTGAGCCAGGCAGGCGAGCTCCGAAGAGAAGTCGCTCAACTGGTTTGTGAGTCCCATGAAGGACCGGAGGTCGGTCACATTCTCCGGCCGTGGAAACTTGGAGACCGGCCTCAGCTTGCCGTCATCCACTGTGTAGCCGTGCCCAGTGATGCAGTAACCACAGAACCTTCATCCCATAATCCTGAAACGGTCATAACAGGCCGGAAAGGCTCTAATCCAAGCAAACAAACCAAAGCGAAAGTGTCGTGTTACACGTGACTTCCTGAACAATTGCATGACCAAAATTATGAGTCATTTTGCATGAACATTTAACGGAGCTGATATTGGCTGTGATCAAAGCTCGAGCCTCAGCCCATGCATAAGAAGTAGGTACATCGGTACAAAAAGTGGGATCAAAGTAAAACGTTCGTTAATGCAGATCCAGCCGTCTTCTTAGCCAAAGATTCATCCAAGAATATATATATATATATATATATATATATTTATATATATATTTATATATATATAATATATAATGTATACGTTGTTTTACACGTATGTATATAAATATATGCCCCCGCGTTATGAAACTCAATGCTCTTTTTGGACCCTGAATCAGTCATTTGGTTTCAACCAGCAAGACAGTCGGATCCACACGTGCCTATACTCACTTCCGTTTGTTGGTAACTATTGCCTTGCATTCCGCCGGTGAAGCCGCCGACATGTCCACACTGGGCTCCGTCATGAAATTGCCCCTGGTGGTGTAAATCCGCGCCAGCATCGGTGTAACTACGTCACTGCAAAGCAAAGGGTAAATAAAACCCACCATCATCATTCCGTTATATGACGATAACATGAGCATGCTCTTCACAGTTCGCGGTAAATTACGATGATCAACAGCGAAAAATGTTGTTTTGTTTTCAATGGGTTGTATCCTCACTTCTCTGGTCTCAATCTGTCTCACCTGTTCTGTTCAATGGGCAACTTCAAGGGCTACGGATTATCCAAATGTGCCGTAGAATCCACCAACAGGAAGAAGTCTGTCTCCGTTGTCATACCTTTGTCGCTGAGAACGTCCATGCATCAAGTTTTTCGTTGACGCATGATGAATGTTTACGACAGCATCCCAATAATAGATCGGTGCAAGCGCTTGTCGCTTACTAATATTGCGCAGGCCTTAACAAGATAAACAATGAATTTGCATGCCATCAATTTCCTCAACATCCCGCCATGTGCATAGGTAAATTGGACAAACGTCATTGACCTAAGTTGACAAAAAAACAGCGAATTTAAACACTATACAATTAATACGGCATTTATCAGCTTTATTTATCGGAAAAAAACAGGAGAAAAGAGATATAGTTGGGTTGATGCTTCGGCAACATGCCTTTATCGAAACAGTAGCAGAAGTGTCATATGCATATAACCAATTGACTTCTATCATTGTTTCAATAAAGGCATGTTGCAGAAATATCAACCCAACTATGTCTCCATTCTCCTGGTTTTTCTCCGAGGCATAGGGCTAATATCACTGTCTTACAGGGAGCTAGAATTGCTTTTGAACCAGGGTTAGAGTGAAAATTCCATCGCAAAAAGACCATGCAGGAGTGAAAACATGAATTCACAAAAGATGGCCCCTATGACCTCGTAACTGATGCTTCAGCAAACAAAGACATCTGTTTCAAGTTGGCATGGACGTAATATCATAGACCTGACACAACTTTTTGGTTTTTAATATCTTAAGCCTTTAAAGTGGAACATAATGCCTTAAAGCATAGTAATTTCATAACAGTGTAATGAGCATCAACAATTATTAACACCAATAATTTGATCTTGTACTTTGCAGTACCCTTCCACAGCACTTTGACACAAAACAAATAATTTGATCTTGTACTTTGCAGTACCCTTCCACAGCACTTTGACACAAAACAAACAAAAAACAACACAAACAGAATAATTCAGTAACAAAGTAACGTAAAATTCAACAAGCATAAAACACTCAAACAAAAAAACCTTGGACTGCCACACATCAGCCCATCACCAAGTCAAACACAATAGACATACCTCTGGCTCTTGTTAAGATAGGATCAGGGAAAACAAACATTTTGTCATTGTTTCTTACAAAGTACCAATGCTTATTCCATGGAAGTGGCCTAACTATGCCTAACGTAAAGAGGTCTCACTTCAACTCATCCTGCCTAACCTGTTTGTATCACAGCAGCAGTTGTGAGTTACCGATTCTTGCACAATTCCTATTGCCACTTGCCACGCACTTAACCAACTTAACCCAACTTAAGTTGCCCATATATTGAACATCATCTCAACTCACCTATCTGTTGACAGAAGCACTTGTGATGAAAACATGATATAGCTAATTTTTGGCTGGTTTCAACTTGCATCTTTATTCAGTTCATTTGTGTATGCTTGTTGACATCGGACAAAGTTGATAAGACACAAATCAAAATGCTTGAAATCACTTTGACAACTTATTCTGATTGCCATGGTTAACCTACTTCAAGGGCAATAATGGATATGCTCCACAAAACAATCTCTCTTCTCCAAAAGTAACATAACCTTTAGATGGCCATGACAGTATTGCTGCTTGCCTTTTCAGCTGCAGCAAAGGCATCTATTTAGGCTTGTTTATTCATATTTAATGACAAAGTTTGGCACGTTGGCTTCACATTTTAAATGGGATGGTCTGACTATTTGTTACATACTAAAATTTAACTCATATTATAATTGCTATGCAGCTTAGAGTATATCTGTGTTACAAATGTAGCGCGTATACACAGTAAAGTCGTTTGCCAGCCAGCAAACCATAACAAGTATAGAAAACATCTGGTTAAAGCAACCATGAGGGACCACTTCAGGAAATTTGGGGCAAATTATCCACAATATGGAACAATATTAGCCCATTGCATGCCTTGTGGCGTCATAGTTTGTGTTATGACAAAACTCGATTGATTGAAACAGGAATTGCTAACTCTGGTTACCAATCATGTGTCGAAAGGAGGTGAGGCAAGCAATTACTTGGTTCACAGGAGGCTTACTGGCTTCTTCCTGCTCCCCCAAGACAAAGAGCCAGTACCTTTTGCATGGTCTGCTGGCAAACAGAGTCATCCCACTCACCCCCCAAATATAAATATCAATGATGCCCACAAATCTGCGAGATTCAAATGCGAAACAAGGAAGAGGTGTGCATGATAAACATGGATAAACATCAATATGGATCATTTCGCCATCAAACACTCCTGTATAACTGCGTCAGGTCTGTCCCAAAGCTCTGTACGACTGTATTAGGATGGCCTTATCAGGTAGTCTGGTGAGTTAGACACTCGAAAGGCTTAGATGTATCATTATTGAGCACCGCCATGAACCAAGAAAACGGTTGGGCGAGGGTTTAACAGGGCAAAAAATGGCGGTAAAAATAATTTTCGTGCTTTAAATTGTCTCCTTCATTCCCTGTGAATTGTTCACTCTTGAGTGCATATCAAACATCTTTGGGCGGCTGGCGAATTAACCCAATTTATGTACGAAATACGTACAAGTTTGCAATTGGAGAATCTTCCACAAAAATTGGTCAACATTTTAAGCAGCAGATGGTACCTCTAAAGGCAATCCGAAAGAAATGAAGAATAAAGTGGTATCACACTCGTAGGATACCACGGAAAATAAAAGGAGTTAAATAACTATAAGTACCGATACTTTTCTGGCAAAATTTTATGATCAGCTGATTTGATATAAAATCTGTTAAGATAAGTGTTCAAATGATGATGTTCATCTTGTAGATTCAATTTGGAAAACGCTTCTTGAATCTTTCACTCTTGCAGTTCGGGAGTGATGCAATTTAGTGGTCAAGTTTCCTCGGGGAAAAAGAAATACGTGGAGTAAAATTTTCTACCAGGCCTTGCTGTTGTTTGCACCAGGCTCTGCTTTCGTGGTGTGGCGGTGAGACGAAAAAATAGGGGATGCGTTTGCATTGCATTTGGCACACAGCTGCCGATTACAATGCATTTTGTAAGCAAACCAAACTTAATGCGTGCAAGCGGCTGGAGTCGCTGGGGTTCTTGGGTTTGGAGGTACCTGGCGCCCTTGCTCTGTGCGTACACAGACATGATGCAGATGTAGGTGAGGCAGGACATAGCCATAGGCGCCCAGGTTCTGTTGAGCCTCGTTTATGCTTGGTGGTTTCAAATGAGCTCGGTTTTGGATGACATGTGAAAACCTCAGAAAGGGAAATAGGGGTTTGGCATGCGCGATTAGACAATGCCAGGCGGGAGTGAAAAATTCACATAAAATATGGGAAAAGGAGTGAAAAATTCCTCCTCATAGGGTGTTGCTTTACACCCAAAGTCGGCAATCCTAGGACACTGCTGTCTTATCTATGTGAATAATGTTCCTCGCTAATGCACCCGGCAACTTACGCGATACAGCTACAAAAACGTTCCGGCAATAGCCGCAAAGTGACGCATCGGCGACAGTCGACGGGTTCCAGGCGTCAACAGGCCGGGGGCCACGCTAGCGAAGCGTGCTGTTCGGGACAGAACTCACATGGCTTGTGAGCGGGCGGCCCTCGAGCTGACGCCTGGCTCGCGACCCACAACCGTGACCGAGCCGTAAGCGCCTCGGACCTTCCCCGCCAGCTGCTCCACCGCGCCGTGGTGGCACTTGGCGCCCCTGTAGAGGAGCAGGTCGATCTTCTTTTTGGGGTAGATGAGCTCGCGGATGGCATCGAAGAACTTCTCCAGGAAAATGGTCGGCTGGTCGATGAAGAGCGCCAGAAACACGCGAGGGAACGTCTCCGGCTAAGAACGCCATGTCCGTGAAGTTAGCGATTTATTAATCGATTTATTCAGTGACGAGTTCCGATTTCTCTGAAAAAACCCTCAAAGTCAACTGTGACATGAGAACATCAAAATTGACCCTCATTTTGCAATATCATATGACCTTTGAGGTGAAAAGCTGAGTCAAAGAACGGGGAACTCGATATCACCCAAAAATTGCTGGCCGATTTGATAACTATATGCATCAAAAAATTCATAGGCGCAAGAGTTCTCCCAAAGATTACCGGCCTATTTTCAAGTTGCAAATGTAAGAATATTCCCCGCAGAATAAACTCACGTGCGCCAAAAAGTCCTGTCCTTTCAAGTTCATCCTTCAAGGTCAAATGTGAACACATAGGACGGGGAACTCGATGTCACCAGAAATTACCGGCCGATTTTCATCTTTCAAGTGTGAGAATTTTCACCACAGAAAGAATTAGCGCCCACCAGAAAGTTCTCAACTCAAGGTCATCCTCCAAGGTCAAACGACGAGTCAAAGGACGGGGAACTTCATATCTCTGAAAAATGACCGCCCAATTTTCAGCTTACAAACACCAGAATATTCACCACAAAAAACCTAGCGTCTGTCAAAATGTCCTGACCTCTGAAGGTCATCCTTGAAGACCAAACGCAAACTCAAAGGACGGGGAACTCCATATTACCTCAAAATTACCGCCCGATTCTTAACTTACAAACATCAGAATATTTACCACAACAAACTAGCGTCCGTCAAAAAGTTCTGACCTCTCAAGGTCATCCTTCAAGGTCAACCGCGAGCTTAAATGACGGAGAACTTCATATCACCCAAAAATTACCGGCCGATTTTCAACATGCGTCAGAATATTCACCACAGAAAGAACTAGCGTCCGTCAAAATGTTCTGAACTTCTCAAGACCATCCTCCAAGGTCAAACGAGGACTCAAAGGCCGGGATCTCCATATCTCTAAAAAATAACCGCCCAATTTTCACCTTACAAACATCAGAATATTCACCACAAAAAACTAGCGTCCGTCAAAAAGTCCTGACCTCTCCAGGTCATGTTCTCAAGGCCATTCTTGAGGGTCAAACGCTGGCTCAAAGTACAGAGAACGCTGAATCCTACTGTGTCATTGATTTTAGGAACCTTAAACCCATGTTTGCAACGTTCATTCCCCCTCATCTCGACACGTCAGGGTCTTTCACCCG